ACCATAGAGACAGGGCGATAGAGAGGAAGGCGAAACAACTTCGCCAGTTGCAGGAGAGGCTGGATGGAAGACAGGAGATGCGAACTCGAGGACATCCGTTCTCAAGAGAGATCTTGGCAGCGCCTTGCCAGCAAATTTCAGGGAGACAAATCTTACTTACGATGGGTCGACAGATCCGTCTAGACACGTGAGGACCTTTGAGAACATGGCGGTTTCACATGTATATTCAGATCCAGTTAGCTGCAGGGGCTTTTATCGACTTTGTGGGAGGCGCGCTCGATTGGTTCTATCAGCTTCTTCCAGCGTCGATCAAGGATTCTGAGGATCTCGCCAACAAGTTAACAAATCAATATTCGAGTGCGGTGGCACAGGAAAAAAATATCTCACATTAATGGCGATGCAGCAAGGGGAGAAGGAGTCTTTGCGGAAGTACGTTGCTTGATACAATCAAATGTGCCTGGAAATCCCAACAGCAACAGATGAGGTCAAAGCATGTGGGTTGATCCAAAGTCTCCGAGCAGGACCATGTCGTGCGTCCCTGGTCAAGACACCTGCTCGAACGTATGATGAGGTGCTAAAAGTGTAATGCCCAGTAATTTAAAAGATAAAATACATAATATTTTTTTTTAAAAAAAAAACCATTAGTTTATTTTTTCGCAAATCATTTTAAAAGTTTGTTTAACAGGCATTACTCAATCTATCTCATTTTCCAATTTTAAGAAAACATACATTACTAAAAAACTAATATTTTTACCAAGACATTCAAAACATAAATAAACGTTTCCAAATAAACACGTTTCTATTAAACAATTTGTAATTCAAACGTTCAAATTTGAATATAAATTTCAACAGAGTTAATAGAAATATAAACAAAATTAAAGACGACCACGCTCGTGTGTCTGCCGCCAGCTCGATCAACTTGACAAACAAAAGGGTGAGCATCGTCTCTCTGTTCAGTGGCAAAATTCATACTATGCATCGATTCAACATAAAAACAAATAGGATAGTAATCATATACACATGCAACCTCAACTGTCTCACTGCTTACTTATAAAATCCCGACTTCAAGCCTCTAGGTAAATTCGATTTATCTCCTTATGTATAAGATATAACGTCCGTTGATTAAAAGAATTACTGATAAAGTAATTAATCAACTTTTTATTCATTTCCAAAATTAGTACCACTCACTTCATTAACCATTATATCGGACAATCGTCCACCTGCAGGGTTTAACATAATGTTTCTTCCTGAGCTCATTTCGGGGATGTCATCAATCCAGTGAACTGGAACATAGTGACCGTAAATAATTTATAACAGCACATCATATAAACACCCTTATTTATCAAAGTATCGAGTCTGTCATCCTAACGGAATAAGAACCACCCTTGGTAAATCAAATAAACAAGTACTGAATATACATGCCCGTTTTATATTATCATACAGCTTTAGAGAACGCATCAATAACCAAAGGTCTAAATTACAACAACGATCAGTGAGTCTAATAATCTTATCTTTCCGACGTCCTGTTCACTATTTACCATAAGCATTAGTGTTGTTCTCCAGTCAAAGACCAACTAGATCAAGAATACACTTTAGTCTTTTTCCAATAGGGGTACTTACTGCCTGTCTAGACTGTGAACGAATAGTGTAGTCTTACAAGGAACCGATAGACGATCTTTCCATTTGAGACACTACGAACCACACTATCTCAATGTAAGGCAAGGAGTATGATTGCATAAATAAATAAACTGCAAGCATATGTACTTTGACCGAAACATGATGGCCAGATCAAACTGGAATTGATAAAATCTGCAAAACATAGCTTTTACAACATACCTCTAACATGCCCCTGGCCTAAATGGACTCACAATAGGATTCTTTCAATCCACCTGTCATAGTATTAAAGAAAATCATCATGGGGGTTAAAAATTTCTTTTCTTCTAGTAGAATACCCAGGGGGCTGAATTATTATGTCAACTTCCTCATCCCAAAAAAATTGAAGCCTTCTTTTGTTTCTTTAGACCTATTAGTCTCTGCAATGTCAGTTACAAACTCATCTCCAAAATCATTGCTAATAGGTTAAAAGGTGTCTTGTATGTTTGTATTTTCCCCTCCCAATGAAGACAAATCCTTGACAACGTCATTGTTGCCAATGAATGCATCCATTACCATAATAGGAAAAGAAGAAGTAAAGACTACTTCATGGACATAAAGCTTGACATAGTCAAGGCTTTTGACAGACTTGAACGGGACTTTGTTGCTAGAATCATAAATAGAATTGTCTTCTATGCTAAATTTATATCTTGGATATTAAGCTGCATTTGTTCTTCACCTTTCTCTTTCAACATCAATAGGGTAATGTCATGGTCTGTTAAAAACTTCAAGAGGTTTAGAACATGGAGAGCCCCTGTCTCCTTATCTTTTTATTTTTGTGTCTGAAGCCTTTTCAAACCTTATTTCCCAAGCTAAACATCATTCTAATTATAAAGAGATTAAGATTGGAAAATTTGCTTCATGTATCTCACATTTTTTTTTCTTTTTCTATTTACTTTTATTTCTTTTTTCTTAACATTTTGTTCTGTAAAGCCAACATTTATCCTGCTAATCTTGTCTGATTATGGAAATGACTCGGGGCAAAAAGTGAACATTGATAAGTCATCCATTTTCTTTTCTAAGAATACTTCTAAGGACACCATTGCTAACATTTGTCAAGTGTTTTCTGGTATCTCTAGAGTGAGTTCTGCCAAATACCTAGGTCTTCCCTATAGGTAGGAAAAAAAAGAAATATTTTCTTTTGTGAGTGACTGTGTGAATCCTAGGTTGAGTAGTTGAAAAAACAAATACTTGACTGGACTGGGAGAGAATTACTGATCAAGTATTTTATCCGGTTTACCAACTCATGTTTTTTGTATGCATCAGAGTTCATGTGGGAATATTGAATACTATTTGTAGGGACATTTTAAACTTCTGGTGGGATTGAAGGACTCTGGGGTCAACAAAGTGCACTGGGCTAGGTTGGACAAGTTAGTACATCCTAAGGAGGTGTGAGGGTTAGGGTTTAGAGATTTGCAGGAATTCAATGAAGCCCTCCTTGTCAAACAACTCCAGAAACTTGTTACCAAACCCAACCTTTTATTATGTAGAGTTCTTATGGGTGGATATTTTTTAGAACCAAAACCTATGGGAGGTTAGAGCTAGAGGGAGTGTCCTGGCATTGGAGAACTTGGTTGGGAGCTAGGAAGTATTTAGACTTAGGGGTTAGGTTCAAGATGGGGAATGGTCATAATATACACATTTGGGACTCCCATTGGATTTCCAATAGCTCTTCATTTAAACCTAGTTGTCCCTTTTCAGATTATAAGACTAGACTGAGTAGAGTCAAGGATCTAATCTATCAATCCAACATGTCTTGGGATAAACATCATAATCTTTGAACTTTTAATCCTGTTGATGTTGAGTTAATCCTTAATATTCCTTTGAACCCTCATGGTGGCAGGGATCATTTCATCTGGCACTTGAGTAAAAAAGGGAATTTTTCTTTTAAAGAAGTGTAAAAAGTAGTGCTTTTAAGCCTATAGTCCAACCATTATGACGCTTCTTCAAGTGACTACCTAAGTTCCCTGAGAAGAATGTGGAAAATCTCCTGGAAATTGCCCATTAAAGGCATGGTTAAAAACTATGTTTTAAGGTGTTGGAACAACTTTGTCAGCTCAAAGAACAATTTGGTTTCTAGAGGAGTACTTTCTGACATGTGGTGTGGGTCTGTGGTGAAGAGGAAGAAGATATATGTCCCAGAGCAGTGACTTGTTGGAAAATATCGGGTCTGCAATGGAATTCTCTTGAGAATAAAAATAACAACTTCCAGTTCCGGCGGATGGATCTTTGCAACATCAAAGAAGATCAGTGCATATCTAACAGAATGAGCATATCTGCTCTCCTGGTTTGGAACTTGTGGAAAAGTAGAAATGATTGGGTATGGAAAAAAGTGTATTAGCAAGAGAAGGAAATTGTTGAAAAAGCTATCTCATATTGACTTGAATTCTCCAACATATCTGAAGGAGGGGTGCAACTTGTGAAGTATAATTTGTCTTCAAATCAGGGTCACAAAAATTATTTTTCTAAGAAGATAGGACGAAAGAGTCTATTCGTCAGTGCCTTGGGTTCTTTGGGGGCCTTCTTTGAATCTTTTTGCAGAGCTGTGGAGGAAGAGGAGATCTAGTACTGGAGGAAACCTATGGTGTAAGCTGCAAATGAGAAGGAAGCACTTGTGCAGGTTTTCTGTTGGAGCATGGACTTAGCTTATTCCTTGGATTGGACAGAGTTTGCTTGGTACCTCAAGGATAAGGACAAGGTCCTTAATCTTCAGGAGATGAAGGTGCTTTATCCTTCCTTGGCAGATCACCTTTCTCATATATATGATGTCACTTCTCATTGTATGAACTGTACCTTTGGGTTTGATTCTGGTTAGTCATTGTATCTTTGTATTTGCAGTTTGGGTCGTATCTATTACTTCTCCTTTGGGTTCTCTCCTCTTGTCCATTGTGAAGGTTGGAGCCCATTTCGATCACTTGATTGTCTGGATGTAAAAGTTATTTCGAACTATTTAATTTTAGTTTATCATTTGAAAAAAAAAGAGTGATTTTAATTTACTATAATAAAAAACAAAAACTGTTACAAAAAAATGAAATAAAGAATATGGATGTGTAACCTTTCTTTCTTTACAAAAAAGGAATAAAAAATAATAATAATAAATTAAAATAAAAAAGTATACTGTTTACAAATATACAATGAAGAAAAATGCTACAAGTACATAATAAATGTACATAGAAAAATACATAACACTCAAATGGAGTGGAGTCCACTTGATTTTTTAATTTTGGTAGGACTCACTTAATGTGAGTGTTATGTACACCTCTATGTATAGTATTATGTACCTATATCATTTCTCGACAATGAAGTTTCACTTCCAAAATTATCTCCGCCATTAGTTTTGTTGTTTGTCAAGAAGCGAAATTCAAGAGCGAGAATTTGACCCTGAGGCATATTTTACCCTTGTCCAAATCCAGCTTGGCCCCCGTGACCAGCCAGTGGCCCGGGTTATCCGACGGCCCACGGCAGATCTCGGACGTGTCAACAAATCTCAACATCTTCTTCTGCAATTGAGCGGCAGGCGGGCCCGTCGGATAAACCCCAGAGTCCACAATCACTTGCTCGGGGTCCCGATCGCGAATGGAGGAGGCGCTAATGGAAGAGAAAAAGGCAGATCTGATGGAGTGGCGGTCGGACGCACGGTCCATCCAGCTGGACTGCACGACGTAACATCCAGAGAGCTGGGAAAACAAGAGGCGGAGATGGAGCACTGTTGTGGCGTCGTGTTTGTCCACGTGTAGCTGTGCTCCAGTGACGATAAAAGCCGATGGCTGTTGGAGGCTAATCCAATTGGGGTCGTATTTCACCGGAGCTGTGCAGATGTGGGAGAATTTCTTCCACTGGACGGCTTCAAAGTAATGTTGGTTGTCTGTTATGTGTTGGGTGCTCCGCCACCACAACTGTGATTGTCGTTGGCGCTGTAGGAGAAGGGGAGGGGTTACCAGGTGCTGGAGATGAATGGCTAACCTGATAATTCATCAATTTATATATAATCTTTACTCAGTAATAAATCATATGAGTCTCTATCGTACAGTTTTGCTATAAAGCCAACAGTTGGCTCTATAGTGGAGCAACTATTTTATATACAACAAGTAAATCATACTATATAATTAAATTATTAGTATTATTTAAGTAATCAGAAAATATGGTATAATTACTTATTTGTATTATATAACCTCTGATTACTTAAATAATACTAATAATTTTATTAATATCATATGATTTACTTGTTGTATTATGGTTTATTCAACTATAGACCTAATTGTTGGCTGCATAGCAAAAACTACTCTATTGTATGTGTGCATAATTTCCTCTTTTATATACCTACCTATTTCCCTTGATGCCCTCCAGGTACAACCGCACTCCCGTCACCGGACTCTTTTCCGACGTTACCTATGTTTACCAAAACAAATCAATTTTCTTTTAGCCCACAATTCACACAACCAACTAAACTAATCACATAATGAAATTCCAAAATCAGTCCAAAGATATAAGATTCATTTATTTACTTGAGTTGTGTTCACATATAGCTTTGGGCCCATCAAGTTGAACTGCAATGCTGGTGTTTGCAATATCTTGTTATTTCCAGTTGGGCCCAACGGGAGGTCATTATGAATGGGGGCCCATATCTTATGCGATTGAAAATCCAAGAAGTACCGCAAATCACTTATTGGAGGCTTATCTGTCAAATCAACAAAATATATAACTGATTTTATGTATTGTGTGAAATAGGGTTTGCATACGAGTCGAGTGAAATTGAACATTTGCTTTATCTTGCAAGATTGAATTTTTTGTTTTAGTTGCTCGGGCTCGATTTATGAGGCTCGAGCTTGACTCAATAAGAAAATACAATAGCTTGAGCTCGACTCAAAATCAAAATGCTCGAGTTTGGCTCGATAATTTTTACGTCGAAAATTAAAATGACCATTAAACACATGTGTTATATTATTTAACTATATATAAGGGACATTTTACTAATTTAACATATATATCGAGCCGTTCGGCAATGCAAAATACGAGCTCGAGCTTGATCCAAGTTCGTGCTCGAGTCGCTCGATCGAGGTTGACTCGAGCTCGGTCAAAATCAAACTCGAGTCCAGCTTTGACCCGAGTGCTCGCGAGCCGCTTGACTCGTTTGCAACCCTAGTATGAAAGTAAAGTATAATAATGGTTTTGGACTATTTAATGCCCATGGCTATAATTGGGCAATCAAATCAAATAAATGTAATAATGCTAGTAATCTTAGGAGATAGATAATGTTTCCCTGCCCACGGTGGACTCATATTAATATGTTCACCGCTTATGTGGCATGCACACATTGGTAATGTTAATATTTCCAAAAAAAAATACATAACCAGTGTCTGCATGCCACATAAACGGTGAGTATATTAACATGTGTCCACCGTGGGTAGGGGAGCATTACTGGATTAGATCTTGTGAAACAAGTAAAATGTACTTACATCTAAGGTAAAGGTTAATTGCATGAGACAAAAATCCTCTTCCAGGAACACCCCTCAGTAGAGAAGTTATGGGGATGAAGTTGAAAAGTATAGCATCGGGCATACTCGGGACCGTTAACAGCCACTCGCAGTGCGTCTTTGCCGTCAAGTCCCCGCCTCTTCTTGAACAAATCACACTGATACCCTATTTCAAACAAATTAAAACAAATTAAATAATACTAATAAATATTTCTGGTCAAAAAAACATTTCAAAGTCTACGTGAATTGTTTATTGTGATAGGCACAATGCATCATAGAAATTGTTCGAATTAATCATAAACAAATCATAGTTAAGTTGGAAACGCTTTATTCTTTATTATATATATACACAAAATGTCAATAGCTGGGGACATATAAAGTCCAACATAGGAGGCTGCTTTATTTGGACTAAAATACTTTGAGAAAGAAATTCACAACTTGCAACCACAAATTGCAGCATAGAGAAACAAGAAAAGGATTTTGCTCTGTTGTCTTTTGGGTTAATGCTAAAGCTTCATAATTTCCTTAAATATATAATTATAGAATGCGTTGAATTTAAGTGGCAGTCTCGCACGCTTCAGAATCATATTTGACGAAAAAAACATGTTTCGTCGTTTGGTTTGAATAAAAAATAAAATTATTCTAAATAATAATTACAGATTCACACATTCTAAAAATATTGAAAAACTAACTTGGTAATTGCATAATGGTTTGACTAATATAACTCTTGGGAACATTTGATAATTATATTGATTGACTAATATAACCTTAATTTATTTTAGAATCTCTTAATCGGTTCATTAATTTTCATAAAAACTTCAAATTAACCTAATAAATATATATATTTTTTATTTAAACCAATTATTATTATTATTATTATTATTATTATTATTATTATTATTATTTAATTTTAAAAATAATTTTCTTAGGTATTGTACTAGTTAAGATTACTTATAAATCAGGAAGATGATGGATGTTGAGTTAAAAAATATCTTTTCACTTCTTTCCAAATATATAAACCAAACAAGGATTTTTATTTGACTTTTTTTAAATACTTTTTAAAACTTTCTTTCCCATCCATTCCGTTAAAACCAAACACTGTTAAGTGACCAAGTCCGCGGATAAAATGTGGGTGTTGTTAACAAAAGTCAAACTACGTAGACTATAAATAGGGAGATGCTACGGTCTCGTTACGAAATTATTCGTCAGAGTAATCGTTAGATCATCATTTAATCGTCGGGATAATTGGTCTAACAGTTACAAACCCAACAGAATAGTTTCATAACCAGACCGTATCATTTTCCACAAATATAATGACAATATTTTAATATTTGCATCTTATAATAACATGCCCTTAATAATATTTTTATCTCTGTTTGTTTGTGTGATTCTTTATTGAGCAATTGGTTATTAATACCACAGTAGATTCTTTTTAACCTGCAAATGGTGATCAAACATACATCTTTTGCAGTGATTGAGGCGTAGTTGCTCACAAGATTTGACTGCGGATCAAAGACATTGAACGCCTCCGGAGCCTAAATTAAAACAAACATAAACATTAGTTAGTGGCATTTTTATTTATTATAAAAAATAATTACTATTATCATGATTTAATATAAAATAATAGACAAAATTGCATTTTAGTATGCTGGTTTAACGCTGTAGCATTTTTAGTTCAAAGATTTCAATTTTTTGTCTTTTGATCATGTAATTTAGTATTTTGCTACTGAAATTGCAACAAAATATAAAATTACATGACTTAAATTGCTAATAAAATTTTTATTAGCAATTTAAATCCGGTAATTTTGAATTTTGTTGTATTTTCAGTTCCAAATAACTGAAATTGCAATCAATTTTAAAATCATAGGACCAAACACAAAAATGGACAATTTTTAAGACTAAAAACGCTACTTAATCGAACCAACATGATTAAAACTACAATTTTGCCAAAATAATAATAATATTGACCTTTTGCTTTTGGTGTTTGGAATTTCTGCGTTGGTATGGAGAAAAAGTGCAAGTGCCAGTGAACAATTGATCACCAAGGTTGTCCAAGTGGTTCTTTAGTTGTGGTGGCTCCACGTTTGAGGACTTGTCTTGCTTTACTAACACCGTGTCTCTTCCTCCTAAGCTTAGCCCAACAATTATGTGTGTCCCATATTTTTCAATAAATCTGTATATCCCAATACATAAATAAATCCACATCAATTAACTATTTATATATATATATATATATATATATATATATATATCTCATGATGAAAATTCATTTTAGGTTATGCAAATCCACACCAGTCTAGTAAACTGGTTGAAGTGGATACTAATACCATTAGGGCTGAGCATGGAATTTAGAGAATTTCGAATTGTTTCAAAAATAGAATCGAAATCATTCAGAACCGAAAAATATCTGTTGACCATTTGGCTAATTGTTACAGTTTTGGATATTTCACCTGTATCGAGACTTAACCGAACCGTCTCATGCCATACTGAACCGAAGAACCGAATTATAACATTAGATGTGTGTTATTAATATTTTTTATGTCAACTTTGATTTTATATAATTTGAGATTTTAAAATGCAAATAAAATATAGTAATGACAATTAATCTTCACTTAAATTTCGTGCTTAGTAATATTTGATCTCCGATTGAATTTTTTCTTCTATAAAAAAAAAATACGTAAAATAAAGTGTAAGGTTAAAGAATAATTTATTGATAAATATTATATTTTGTTTGAATTTTAAATTTTCGGTATTAGTTGCACAAATTTAGTTTTAACTAAATTTAGAGTTACTTCTAAATTTTATTTCAAAATAAAATGTTTAATATGGGGAAGAATTGACAAATGTTTTTTTTTTAAAGCATCTAAAAATTAAATAACTAAGATTTATTGTGACTTCTAAAGTTGATTTTAAAATAAAATATTCAATATGATAAAGCATTGAAAAATATTGTTTTTTTTTTTAAAACATAACAATATAAATATAACTAGGTAGTCATTAAAAAAAAAAGGAAATCTATGAAAATCCAAATCAAACCATACAAAACCGAACCGAACCGTTCTGTTTCGTTCCTGTAGTCCCCCAACTGAACCGAACCGAACGGGACCGAACCGAGAAGTAAAAATCTCCGAACCAAACCGTCCTGATATTTTTGTATGGTTCCGAAAATTGAATTTAGTGATCTTCGAATTACAGTTCTAGAGATCTTTCAATCTTCAAACTGTACCGACTCATGCTCACTCCTAATATCCGGTCATACTAGCCTTTGTAATTTTCAAGCGTTTTAACTAGTGCTTGGGTAAATTATACCAAAGACCATTCCTGGCTTTATTCTTGGAGCATAAATAGCATAAATAGCTTTATTTACTTATCTATATTTGTGACAAACTATTTCATTCCAACTTATTGTATACAACATGTGAAAATTACCAAAAAGCCCTGCTTCTAAATTGATATCTGACTTTTTGTATATAATTTAGGTTATAAATAAACTAGCTACTTGTACACGGAAAGATCGCGCGTCCAATTATTATACTAATGGAAAATAAAGGGTAAATTGCGCCAAACCTCCCTGTATTATACAAAATCTGCGTCTTATCCCCCTGTATTTTAAAAAATGCGCCATACCCCCTTGTATTATACTTTTGATTGCGCGTTATCCCCTAAAAATGCGTCATACCCCCTTGTATTATACGAGGAGAGGGGAGTGTGCGCAATCAAAAGTATAATACAAGGGGGTATGACGCATTTTTTAAAATACAGGGGAATAAGGCGCAGATTTCATATAATACAGAGGGGTTTGACGCAATTTACCCGGAAAATTAATATTAAGCATTTAAAGTGTGTATATATTCCATATATTTTGAGTGACTCAACCCAATTTAAATAACTTTTTTTTTTTTCGAACTAATAGAATTCATTAATAAAAACACATACTTATAACCCACTCAATTTAAATAACTCTAAATAAACAAAATACTACTAGTATTTGATATGAATGCAACGAAGATTCCCCCAAACACTTAGTCATATCTTCTGCATTTATATTTTGTTGGTCAACTATATTACTTTGCTCTGAATGAGATTGTGTATTTTATTCCATATGTCAGTCAACTAACTACCCTCGCAGACCTAACCCCCTTCTCCATGATTT